TGTGTCTGTGTGTGTACGTAGTGGAGGAAAAGATACAAGAAACAAAGAGAATGTGTTTTTTGTTGTTTGCTTCCCTGGGTGAATAGGGCTATACATACTTTTCAAGGGAATTCTACATTAGGTCATCCATAGTGACCATGGGACATTTCTAGGGAAACTTTTGCTTCATTCTTATTTCATTAAAGACAGAAACTACAAAAACCAATGAAAAACAATCAGTGTTTAAGTTGAGGTTGTAAAGAAAATAGCTGTTCAATGTATTGTTTTGTGCATTTCAAAATCATGCTTGCTTTTCCAACTCCAGCCCCATCTTTTATATTTAATTTTGAGAAAGTGTTTCATTCAGATCTGTTATTAAATCACACTCACAAGGTCGATTTTGTGTTATTTATTTATTTTTTGTTTTGTTTTGTTTTTGATTTTTTTTATTTCAGCATATTACGGGGGTACAAATGTTTAGGTTACATATAAGCACTTCGAGCATCTTATCTCCAGTGATAATGGCCTTTATCAAAAAGTCCCAAAACAATAAATGCTGGTGTGGATGCAGAGAGATAGGAACACTCATACACTGCTGGTGGGACTGCAAACTAGTACAATCTCTGTGGAAAGTAATATGGAGATACCTCAAAGAGCTACAAGTAGAATTACCATTTGACCCAGTAATCCCACTACTGGGCATCTATCCAAAAGAACGAAAGACATTCTATAAAAAAGGTGTGTCTTATTTATTTTTAAGGATTGGTCCCAACTTTATCTCAAATATTTTGTTGCTCAAAGTCCCAGCTTTATACATTATATAATGTTTGAAAGCAGCAACTGCGAAAGCACCATATTATGCAACGAAATTTTATCATGATTGGTCAATTTAAAGACAGCAAGGCTACAGCGATGGAAAACCAACAATATGACCGATGAGGCATCAGCAAAAAGTCACTTGATAATCACTATTTTCTCCTTGTTGGTGGTTTTGGTAGATGTCCTTTCTGAAAGAAAAGAGATCAGTGATATGATTGGACCTTGTTTTTATTTTATGTGCTCAATATTTCTGAATGTCTTCCAGATATTTCTACTTGCATATCCCACTTTCAACTCAAATTCAAGGTATCTTCCATGATTCCTCAGGCATTAAAGGATAAAGAAATTTTTTAGACTACTTCCTTTGGCCTCATGATGCCTACAGTTAGTGCAGTGAATATATCATGGCTCATTATCCACAACTTATTGACACTTTGTGCAGCAGATTTTCATGCCATCCTTTCTTATGAATGTAGAATGCCCTGTTTTACATTTTTGCTTGTCAGAACTGTTCAGCTTTTTATACCCAGCTCAACGCAAACTGTTCCAAGAAACCATCCTCAAACTCAAAGGCAGAAATGACCTTCCTTCCTACTGCATCTCTTCCTGCAGATGTCTCTCTTTAGAGCATTCACACTGTGCAGGCCTGTGGTTACTAAAGCACAGCCCTCTGCCCAGGTAGGGGCTCACACCTTGTACTCCCTCATGGCGTTAGATGTACCTCAATAAACATTTGCTTAACAAAGTCCTTTTCTTGTCTGCGGCCGCCCCGCCCTGACCGCGCCGGATCCCGTCTGACCTCGGAAGCAAAGTCCTTTTCTTTATGGTTAGAGTGGCACAGGGAAGGCTGTCCGAGGTGTGCAACTGAGAAATCACTGACTATATCTGGAGTCAAAAGACACAGGTTCATCTGCAGCAAAAACCCTGTCCCTGCTTTGTCCACATCAGGGGATTCATATGAGGAGCAAAGCAATTAGTTTAAAATGCAATTTATTTATATTCTCTTTCAAGAACAAATTTGAGGTGGCTTATGACAAAGAATATTGTCGAAATATTGTGTAATGTAGGAACTATCTATCCTGATGTTTTATTTTGAGACATATAATTCTACTATGTTACTTTTAACATTGGTCCCCAATGTTTAGGACCCCTTTCCCTCCAATTTAAGTTACTTTCATGTGACCAAGCTGCACAGTTTATTCATGGCAGAGTCAGTCCAGAATTTGCTGTCGTACCTTCAAAAGGAGAAGAGTTACTGTGCTTAGAGGAGTAAACTGTAGTACAAGCCAACCATGGTCACACCTGGGGGAACGTTATTAATAGTAACAGCATGTGCATTGGGCCTTGGGCAAGGGGAGTCATGATGGTTTTCTGGACACTGAGAAATTCTGCAAAGCCTGGTGTGACAGCCAAATCCTCGATTTAAGCTGTTTTTCAGCAGCATACCTCCATCAGCTCTTTCAGAGTATATCCAGCACAGCGTATACTTAGCTTCCAGTTGCTGGATTTTTTGTAGCCTCCTCTGTCTTGAAATCGCCTGAGAGTGAGCCACCTTCCAGTCTCACTCTTTATACACTTCTCTGAGGTTCCTGTAAGACCAAGACAAGCTGAGCTCCCAACTGTGAGAACACCTAAACTTGGCCTCCCCCAACACTGGATCTGGAGCCACCCACTTTGGGTTCAGGATCAGTAGCAGGAGAGTCTGAATTGTCCACTCTGACATCAGGGGTCCCACACTCAGGCTGAAAGTCCGGGGAAGAAGGGAACTCCCTGCCATGTGTGTATATTTCTCTGACGTTTAAACAGTGAGTCTTGTGTGACTCCGTCCAGAGAGGACTCTTGCAAGCTTGCTCTTGGTGTCCGCTGGACTTCGCCCCACGTGCCTTTTCCCTTTGTTGACTTTGCTTTGCATCCTTTCAGTCTTACAAACCTGAGCTATGAGTGTGACTTTGTATCAAGTCCTAGCAGAGCTCCTAGGAAATCAGACCTGGGGCTGGTCTTGGGGCCCCCAAAGCAGATATCTACTCCCCAACAGTGTGCTATTTGCGTGGGTATTTTCCAGTTGAAAATCCTAGGAGACAAGGAAACTCACCTTTTTTAAATTTCTCCATATATAGAGTCCCCTTTATCTCACCACAGGTCACAGGAAGTTCAGGAAGTTGAAAATTCATACTTTCATCTTTGGGAATTCTTGGAGCTGCAAGAAAGCATTTTTTTCATTCCATCTTCCTCTACAACTGGGTAGTATATCTCTCACCCATCCTCGGACCCTTCTTTTTTTATTATTAAGATGCAAATTTATTAGGAAATGCAAATCTATTAAAATGCAATTCATTCATTAATTAAATACAAATCATTTTATAACCAATATATATTTGTTAGAAAACAGAGATTTATA